TCGAGGTCTCCTGCCCGCGGCCCGCTGGAGCCGAACGAGTGTCCGATCGAGAGGAGGAGGAGAGCGCTGCGAGGGGGAAAGAAGAAAAAGGAGGAAAAGGAGGAGGACGAGGAAGCTGAGGAAGCGGAGGAAGAGGAAGAGGCTGAATGAGGGGAGCTGGGGGCTCTTCATGAGGAGACGGGAGGAGGTGGCGGGGGGACGTGGAAACGATAATAACTGGTTTGAAATGAAGCCTGTGTTTTACAAATAACAAAATTCTCCTCCTCCTCCTCCTCCTCCCTTTTCTCCCCTCTCTTCTCCTCCTCCTTTTTCTCCTCCTCTTCCTCCTCCTCATCATCATCATTGCCATCCATACCACCCCCGATGTCCCCCGTAAGTATAATTCCCTCCGTCATATGGCTCCGGATACCACCCACTGATCTCATCATACCTCCTCTTCCTCTGCCTCCCTCCCCAGTCGCTGTCAAGGCCTCCATCGTCTGCTTCTGTGCTATAATCCTGCTCATAGTTGGAGGGAGCATCCGACATGCTCTCGTCGCTCATCATGGGGTAAATCCACTCGTCGAAAGTTGCCTCCGTCATCCACTGGATCTCGTCCGTCTCCAGGTCCAACACGATATAATTGTTGAACCTTCCCAGCTCATCGAGTTCAAGTCCGAGGAAGACACCAGTAGTGTAGGAGCAGGAGTAGGAATGGGAGGAGGAGGAGGGCCCTTCGTTCACCACGGCACAGCCGAACACCATGAGTTCGTTGTGGTCCTGAAACATGGTCCTGTGGTAGAGCAAGTGCGGCGTCTGATCGTCCTGGGGACGCGGGAGGATATTGTGGAGGAGGGAGGCATACATCCAGGAATAAACCCACATGTCTCCTGGCACCTGACTCTCCTGCATCATCCGCTCGCTCATCACTTTCAACGCCTCCCACGCCTCCCACGCCCCCGATCGCTCCATGCGCTCGACCCCGACCGCCTGCCACGTCACGTTGTGGCGGTGGGGCAGGTAAGTCAGCTCCCGGTACAACAGCTCGTTGCTCCTGTCATAGATGAGCCTCCGCACTGGCCCCCTCTGCCCCCTCGCCTGGCTCTCCAGCATCTTCGACAGCACGCCTGCCGTCTCTCTCAGAGCCCCCATCGTCCGCACTTGCACATAGCCGGAGAACACGTCCACCACCGTCAGCAAGAATCGGCAACTCCACCTGCCCCAGGAGCCATCCTGCTCCTCCAGCTCCAGGGCCCAGCACTCGTTGGGCCTCGAGGCTTCCTGCTGCGGCAGCGCCGAGACTTGCGAGGGCCCCGACTCGCTCGGGACAAGTTCGCAGGTGTTGCAAGGGACGAGCGCGTCTGAGGGATCGAAAACTACACAACTGACGCTCCTGGCCAGCCTCGCCTGTACTGAGCTGTCCACATGCCCGAGTCGGCAGTGCCAAAGGTACGTGTCTGAATCAGTACCTTCCCCTCTCCATCGGGTCCTCTCCAGGAGTTCGGCGAGTCGTACACCGTCAACTGCATCGACTGAGAGGAGTGAGCGGACTGTGCCGGCTCCATGGACTGAGTGGTACGCGGCATGACCTCAAGCTCCAGCCAGTTGTCGCGCCCCACCTTCGCCCTCAGCAAGTACGCGGCATTCCTCGGATTCAGAGCGATCTTGACCCTCCCGTCTTCCGTGCACATGCAAAGCAGCCTCGACCTGTTGGCCCCGAACCAGCGCACGTGAAGTTGGTCCTTCACCAGCGACTCCACCGACACCATCGGCAACTCGAGGCGCTCACACACCCAGACTTCCTTGAGCTCAAGGCACCCGCAGTTGTCTCCCTCGCGCGTCAGGTTGATCGTCAAAGTGCCGAACTTGTCGCATCTGATCATCCCCGCTGCTGTCTGGACAGTCAGAGGCTTGTCGGCAAACTCGACGTCGGTCAGCAGCCCTGCATAGCCCACCATTGAGAAATTTGAACGTAAATCAGCGAGGAAGAATTGAGTCTCGCCGGTCCCGTCCTCCAACTCGTTCTCCAGCTCCTGCTTCAGCTGATTCATCTTCTCGAATGTCAAGTCGCTGTCAACACCGAACGTGACGTCAGCCCTCGGCAACATGACCCCGCCGATCGCTCCTTGGCTCTCCTGACCGCCGCTGGGCCTCACAACCGGGGTGCGAGGAAAAGGAGCTACCACCTCACTGGTCTGCGCCTGCACCCGAGAGCCTCTCAGTCTCTGCAACTGATCCATGATCGTTCGCATCTTGTCTTGCGACGACTTGACGAGCATCTCCAACGGAAGGCTCCTGCTGCTGCCAGGCTGACCGTCGGACGTAGAGTGCGCATAAGGTTGGTTGTGCTGCCTGCCACTCCCTGACCTCCATGCTGGAGTAAAGCGACGTTGGGCACCAGGGGAGTTCTGGTGCGATAAAGGATCATCCCTACCGTCTGGAAGCATTCCGCCCGGTTGAAAACTCTGCGATTGTCCTCCTGCTGCTCCACCTTGAAAGTTCTGGCGCCCACCCTGCCCATTCTGAGGGGGTGGATGGTAGACCGGAGACAAGGAGGAGCAACTCTGTAACAAGTTTGGAAGCGCTTGTGCGTGCTCGAGGTATAGCGCAACTGCCAAGATCTCTTCCATGGAGCAGTTAGGACTGAGCACCTCCTCGAACAAGTTGAGACCCTTGCAGGGTGACTGGATGCAGCGGAGCCTGAGCTCGCTGGACAGCTTCTGTTCGTGCATGGCCACGGAGGCAGCAGGGTCGAGCCGCTTCAGTTGCGTCAGCAGCAGCTTCATCCGGTTGATCACTCGCAGGAAGTGATCTTCATTCACGATGTCCTTGCTCGCCAACGACAGCAGCTGAATCCTCAGGCTGGAGGAGCCTTCCTCTGAGATGTTGCTCCTCCCTATCATCCTCCACAGGATGTACTTGATCGCTTTTAGCCCGGCTAGCGGGAACCGGTTCCCTCCTGCCATCTGCCATTCATAGTGGAAAACATCCTTCAGTTTCATCCGGAAGTACATGTGAAACCCTTCCGCAACGTTCTGGATGTCCCAGTACAGCAAGTCCACTACATCCTCCTCCTCTCTCTCACTAGCCAGGTGCGCATCCCTTCCACCCGCCCTCGGACCTCCTGCAGCCTCCTCGCCCGACATCATGGCCTTGAACTTGCCAACCGCCCTCACGACCTTCCGGCTGTTTCCCCACGGGAACCCTGCTCCGAGGAACGCCTTGACGGCTGCATACTTCCACTGCCGCGTCCTGTACACCTCCGGCTGGCCGTATCCCCATTGCTCGTGGAAGTCTCCTGTGAAGTTGTGGGTTCTGCTGCATATGGGAAAGAGGTTGACGAGGTCCAAGAAGCACCTGTCTCCTCCTGGTCGGCACCTGAGCATGGCCGTCTGGAATGGGAGCATCAGGTCGTCGATCTCCTCCAACAGCCCATCAGCTTCCTCTCCACCTCCTCATCTGGAGTGAACGTCCCGTCTAACTCATGTTCCTTCCCGCCGTCATCCCTGCACAGCACTTTCGCTCCATAGAGGAAGGGCGAGCATTTTCGACGCCATCCAAGCACAAGAGTGCTAGGCCTCTGCGCGCAGATATCATCTAAGATCTTTTCCTCCTGCTCGTAGGAGAGAGCCCCCTCTGCTCCCAGGAAGGATATCAGTTGCTCTGCCCCCCTCGAATTTCTCATCGTTTCGTTCCCTTCAGCTCCTGCTCCTGCTCCTGCTCCTGCTCCTGCTCCTGCTCCTGCTCCTGCTCCTGCTCCTGCTCCTGCTCCTGCTCCTGCTCCTGCTCCTGCTCCTGCTCCTGCTCCTGCTCCTGATCTTCCTCCCTGCGATGCTTGATCGGGAGCCACAGTGTGCAACAGGGGAAGAAGAGAGGAAGCAAGCCCTTCAGTGTCGACACATCGGACGTGGTAGCCTATCCTCTGAAGTTCTTCTGCCATAAAGCCACTCCCACAGCCCCAGTCCATCACAACCTTTCCCCGGTCGAGGAGCTCTGCCATGGCAGCGACGAACGCAGGACATTGCTCCTCTAGCTCCATCGACTTGCGGAGCAACGTAGCACCTACCAGCGCTGCTTCTCCTGCGGCTAAGCTTCTCCTCGCTTCAAGGTTCGATGTAGAGTTCCAATGCTGCTCGTAGAACAGCCCCATTTGCATGCAAACATCTTGGCTCCTGTTCCCCTGGTTTTCCTCTGCTCGAATGCTCTCAGATGCTTCAGGAGGACAGAGTCTGTCGTGAAGGAGGTGGGAGAAACGGAGGGGAAGCTCGACGTCTACTTCCTCGTTCGCTTCTTCGATCGCCATATCCCTCCTCAGCGGATCCTGCGCATGGTCCTCCAGGGACTTGCTCCTGTAGTGGTTGTACCGAAAGTCGTGGGGGTGTACATCCACCACAAGGCTGACAGAGCGAGCGAGCAGCACCTCGTGGATCCCCGGCATGACGATGAAGCGGGGAAGGAAGAGAACTTTGCTCTGATCTGAGTTTCTCCCGCGGCTTCTCATCAGGTACTCATCCACAACCAGCCCCCTGGGCCTCTTCCTGTGCTTCGAGGTCCCGAACATCGCAGCCTTGAGGCGGAACACGACGTTCTCTGCCCCGAACACAGAGGTAGATCGAAGAAGGTCGAGCATGCTGTCGCTCCTCCTGGGGAGCAAGAACTCGTCAACGTCTAAGAGCCCCAGCCAGTCGGTCTGGTGTGCGTAGCGCCTGGTGCAGTGAGTGTGCGCTTCCTTCTGGGGATATCCAGTGAAGTTCCAGTCATGCAGAACAACGATCCCCTCTTCCACGTACCGTGCAAGCACCATGCGCGTCGTGTCGATGCTGCCATGGTCGTACAGCAAGAATCTTTCAACCCCCATCATCCTGCTGTACTCTATCCACTCCCGCAGGTACAGCGCTTCATCTCTGATCATGCAGCAGAGAGACAAGGTTACCCTGGGCAGTTCGTCTGGAAGGCACAGGGGCAGGTGGCTCACAGCAACGGCTCCAGTCATCATCGTCTCATAGTCCACGCACTGCCCTGCTGCCCCCCAACCTCCTTCCTCGACCATCCTCTCACATGTCCCACAGAAGTCGCGATCGCTGCCGGCAGAGGCGTTGCAGGTCAGAGCATGGAAGGCAGGACGAGGGACAAGAAGCAGGTGCAGCCTCACTTCTTCCTTGGCCATGAGCATCGGCATCACCCAAGGAGGGAGGAGGCAGGAAAGGAGATTGATATGCCCGAAGGGATCAGCTCGAAAGACAACAAACGTTCGATCCTCATCCTCCTTCTCTTTTTCCTCTTGCTTTCCTATCGCCTTTCCTGACTTCATGGACTGAATCCTCGCTTCAAGCTTCGGATCATCCTGCCCTCTGGTGAAGATACATTGGCTAGCAGCGTTCTTTTCCCGAGGAATCCATGAAAGATCCCTCCCTTCCCCCCACACGATCGGCCAAGACTCGCCTCCTCTGGCTCCTTCTCCTGCATCTGTCACGATCCAGAGGGGATGTAGAGGGCCCACCACCCATACTTCCTGCCGTTCGACGTCTACCATGACGTCCATGGCCCTGCCTTTTCTCGATCCTTCACCCCACTCTATCAGTTTTCTCAAACACATCCCTGTCCTTCTCCTACCCTCCCCTGCGTCATATCCTCCTTCCTCTCCCCTTACTTCCTCTCCTCCTCCTCCTCCTCCTCCTCCTCCTCCTCCCCTCGCCATCGTGAGCATCACCAATGCGATCAGCATCTTCACTAGCCGCATCGTGAATCCACCCCGTTCCCTCCCACCCCCGCAGGATTTGGGATCTACCCCACTGAAATATATTAGTACCCCCCTAATATAGGCAATTACAGCCTTGTCAGGTAGGGTAGAGAGAATGGCATTTTTGATGATAGGGGTCAGGACCCTACCCCACACGTTTCGAGGCTGACTACACCCGGAGGAGTTCAACCATGGCGGCGCAAAGGCGGATTGGGATGCGGATGCTGTCTACGAGCTCAGGTATGGTATAATGGAGAGCAAGAGATGAAGAGATGGAGAGCAGGGAGAGAGACGAGGAGGAGGTGCAGAGAAGTCCATGCAGAGCGAGATGTATGCGTGATTGGGAGGGGAAGGAAAACAGAACAAACTGTACACGGTATACATCCATGCACCGGCAACGAAGCTCAGTCAGAAGCTTCGATTGGAAGATGAGGAGAGTGATTGCAACAATAAGGAGAGGTCTGATGTCAGAAAGTGTGGAGGCAGTGTCATACATTGTCGTCGTCTCACCAACCGGCATACAGTGCTGCTGGCTGGGACAAGGGAAAGGAGAACGAGCAGACAGTCATGGTCGTACATGAGCGAAGTGATCGGACAAGCCACGTTAGGAGGACGACATATTCGCATGGGAGCAGGAGAAATCCTGAAAGTGATGGATCTCTGCGCTGCCTCCGCTGCCATGAAGCATGTGCAGCACCAACGGACACCAGTACGTCTCACGCTGCCCTCAGCTGCTCCTCCCCTGACTCGCAGACCAGACGCTGGCCTTTGATCGGCTGGAGCTGCTCGTCCCCATCTGCCATGGAGACCTCGTGCTGACCCGCTCCTTGCTCGTTCACTCGCTCATCTCTTCAGCAGGTGCACATGGATGCCAGAGTGATCAACGTTGGACGTCAGCCATGGGCGTTCAGGTGAGTGGAGAGGGCAGACGGCGCGTTTTGAGATCAGAGAGGCGAAGAGCATGGTTGTTGGGACATCACCAGCAATCTGTGTGTTAGCATTGAGCTAGAAGATATCGAAATCAATCAACAAGTCGTTCTCAGCTGCCCTTGCAGGTGGTCGGAAGGAAGAAGGATATGAGAACTCGCCACTGGTACTACACGCACGAAGCTTTCGCGACTTTCGTCAGCCTCGGTCCTGACGGAAAGCCGTCGACGGTGAGGAGAAGATCGGCTACTGCATGTTGAGAGGCTGCGGGGGCTGGGGCGTGCGGGGAGGAGGGGAGGGTGGGTTCACCTTCCTGTCAGGTGCCGGAGTTGGTGCTGGAGACGCAGGAGGAGATCAAGTCACAGGAGTACGCGAAGAAGAGGTTCCTTCCAGTCTCGAGCCTCCCACACTGATGGTGCAGATAACATAGGGTTGAGCTTGCACGGCGATATGCTAGGGAGCAGGCCGCGTTTGACAGCCACCCGATCGATCCGTTGGAGTTAGAGGTTTCCTGTCTGGTCCCTAGCGCTCAGGAGAGTGACTTGCTCCTCTAGTTCAAGAAGGTGAAGGGTATCGAGTACATGCACATCGAAGACACCGTGGTGCGCTTGCGGAAGAACTTTCTCCCTAGGAGCCTCAACGGCCTCGGGACCATCTTCGGTGGAGACCTCATGGTTGTGCTGCTTGCAGGAGCAGCGATACCTAGTGACTGGCTCGCAGGAGTGGATGGAAGGAGCCGCTATAGTGTGCGCCAGGAACTTCACTCGGAACTCCAACGTGGTCACCATTGCTATGGACAACCTCTTCTTCATGAAGCCGATCTTGCCGACAGTACAGGCCCAACCTGACTGCTTGCTCTGCTGAACGTGTCGACTGCAGCACATGCTCGAGCTCACGGCCAGGGTTGTGTACTGCAGGACGCACACTGTGCAGGCAGATGATGCTAGGCTGCTGCTGGACGTCTGAGACTTGAGCAGGTGGAGACGACGGTGAAGATCATAGAGTCCATGTGGAACCAGAAGAAACAGGACGACGTGTCGCACAAGGGATATTTCACCATCCTCAACACCGGCGAGGTAGCTCTGACTGACTCTGAAGCTGCGAGCGTGTGCGGCTCACCGGGTGCTGCAGTATGGGGACAAGGAGGAAATCTTCGTGAAGCTGGAGGTGGGGGAGGACGAACTCTCGCAGAGGGAGTACCTCAAAGCGAAGCATCGCGCCGAGTTCCTGTGGCCGGTAACCCATCGCAAGAGTCGCAGTCCAGCCTTACTGTCACACAGACTCATGATCAGGAGTCCTGCCGCTCGAGACCCTCCTACGGTCAAGCCTTCACGCAGGAAGGAGTGGTCCCGTACCCTCCTTGGGGGGATGAGGAGCGCAGCTATTTCGGGATCGCTTAGCTTCTCTGTGAAGTCTCTTCCGAGTCTCGTCCTCTCTCTCAGAAGCTTCTTGCTGAGCCCAATCATTCATCATTCGCTCATCTTCCAATCAGTGACTCTCATACCGTCGCTACCGTCGTACTTGGAAGTACTTGGCCGGCATCACAGCGACGCCGGCCTGACTCCGACGCTGGTCACCGGGTACGGTCGTGTCGTCAGCCGCTCAGCTTGATTAGAGCCGTTACAACTGTAACGGCGGTCGATGGGTATAAGGGATTTCAATGGATGAACGAAATGAACGAAAGGAAAAAAGAAGTTATGTACCTACCCCCTTGTTGACGCTGTAAATTGCTATCATTGGGGGGTAATAAAACCTTAATACTTACTTGTAAAGAAGTGTTCAATTCAAGAGAATGTGGAAATGGAGGGAGAATGGGCATGGGAAGCAGAAAGACGAGGATTGGGAGAGATAGAGAACAAGAAGAAGAAGAAGAAGAAGAAGAGACAGCAGACAGCAACAAACAGAAGACAAGAGAAGACAAACAGTAGACTAGATGATACAGAAGACAGACAAGGGCAGGTGCAAGCTAGAGGAGACAAGGTGTTGAGAAGGATTGAAAGAGATGGAGCAGATAGATGAAATTGTGGAAGGTGCGGGAGAGAATGGATGAAAGGAGGTGGTGTCAGATGGACTATTGACAAGCATCAATGGATAAGCTGAAATGAGCGAAAGGATTATTGAAGTTGCATCTCTTTGTTTGGAGAAAACAAGATCCACAACATCGATCCACTTTGTCTGACGTTCGCTGTAGATGATAGCCCTGGGGAAGGCTCTATGCTTGGTTGCTTGCTTTGTAGGTGCTCAAGGTTTTCTTCCGGCTCAGCCTTTCATAGCCAGGAAGGGATGGAACGATGCAGCATCTGCTCTGCCTCTGCGCAAGGCGATCAGCTGTCGTCTGCCTTCAGCTTCCCGCCAGCGCTTCACTGCAACGAGGATGGCAGTGGAGGAGGAGAGCCTGCAGCGGCTGGTGGACAGCAAGGGGAGAAGGTACATCATTGTGGGTGGGAAGGGAGGAGTGGGGAAGACGAGCACGAGCGCTGCATTGGCGGTGAAGCTCGCGGACGAGGGGCTGAGAACGCTGGTAATCTCCACAGACCCGGCGCACTCGCTGGGGGACGCACTCATGACGGATCTGTCTAAGGGAAAGGTCACGCCCGTGGCGGAGCAGGGAGGCAACCTGTATGCCCTCGAGGTGGACCTGAAGGAGGCGATAGAGGAGTTCAAGGCCGTCATCAAGAGCCTGAAGGGGTCGGAGGACGTGGACAGCATCGCGTCAAAGCTGGGACTGTCGGAGATGACGGACATCTTCGACGTGCCTCCCCCAGGAGCAGACGAGCTGGTGGCGCTGAGCAAGATTATCTCGCTCGTGGAGGAAGGGGAAGCCAAGACAGCTCTGGGGCAGGTGGGGAGGGGGAGGAAGGAGGGAGGGAGGGAGGGAGGGGGAGGGGGAGGGAGGGGGAGGGGGAGGGAGGGGGAGGGGGAGGGAGGGGGAGGGGGAGGGAGGGGAGGGGGAGGAGGGAGGAGGAGGAGGGCGTACGGACGTAACCGGCG